TCCTTAAAGACTGCATAGAATATGCAAGAGGTTGCCAGGCATGCCAAAAGCATGGAACAATAAGGCACGTGCCCATAACTGACCTGCATGCAGTTGTGAAGCCTTGGCCATTTAGAGGATGTGCTATGGATATGATGGGAAAAATACACCCACCCTCTTCGAAGCATCATTGTTTTATCTTAGTGGCCACTGATTACTTCACTAAGTGGGTCGAAGCTAAACCATAAAAGGCTGTAGACTAGACTGAAGTCATTGGATTCATTAAGGATTTAATCCATAGATTTGGCATCCCACAGACTATAACTGTTGATAATGGGACTGCATTCGGTGGGAAAATGGTAATATCTTTTATGGCAGAGTTTGAGATTAGTCTTGTTAATTCTACACCCTATTATGCACATGCCAATGGTCAAGCTGAATCATCCAATAAGTCTTTGAAAAAATGAATTCAGAAACTTGTGGAAGATAATCCCAGGGATTGGCATAACTTGTTGTTGGATGTAATGTGGGCTTATAGGACTTCACCAAGATCAAGTACAGGAATCACTCCGTATGCCTTAGTGTATGGACATGATGCAGTGCTGCCTGTAGAAATTAATGTTAAATCATTGAGGGTGAGATGCCAGGATCAGTTAAATCCTGAGCAATGCCATCAGAGTATGCGCTTAGAATTAGAGAGTGTAGATGAAGCTAGAATTCTGGCATTAAATAACATTCTTTTCCAAAAGAAGAAAGCAGCCAAAAACTATAATAAGAAAGTCAAACATATTGGCTTTGATGAAAGTGATTTGGTATGGAAAACAATACTCCCAATAGGAATTAAAAACCATAAGTTTGGCAAATGGTCACTTAATTGGGAAGGACCATATCAAGTTCATATAGTCCTGTCCTTTGGAGCATACCATTTGAGAAATTTAAATGGGTATGTACATCCCAAAAACATTAATGGCAGATATTTGAAGCCTTATTTTCCAACCATTTGGGAAACACAAGGAATAGAATAAATGCTAAGTAAAAGAATATAAGAATATTCAAATGATAAATAAGAATTTGCTTTTCATAAAGAGTTGAATACATTTTGCCATAAATTGGCCCAGAAGTCAGTACAATGCCTCAGTTGTTCTTTTACAACTAATGTTCTATTCTTAAATGATGAAAACAACTGGATGGCTGTGGTCATTTCTTGTTTTCGATCAGCCAGCCCTTGATTGGTAATCAGCAATTTGGTGTCAATTCGGACTAAGCCCTGATTAACTGCAGATAGCTCCTCCTCAAGTTAAGCTTTTTTCTCCAATAGTTGAGTCCGAAATTGGGAGACAGAGGAATGCTATTCCTTTAGCTCTAATACATCAGTATGTACTTTGGAAACAAAGCTCTGGTCTCTCACTAATTTCTCCTCTGCAGCCTTGGCAGCGTGGCAAATGTTGATGTAAAAGTCGATGGTGGCTGCCGTCTGAGATAAATGACTTGAGACAGTCATGCCGGATTGCTCAACAATCTTACAGCACTAAAGGAAGCCATTTCTTATTATAAGTCTCTCTAAGGCCTCGAAAGGAATCCTCGAAAAAGATGTCAACCGCTCCAGACAACTGTCCAAGTCCATCAGAGGTGAAGAAGGCTTATTACTGGAGGAAGAGCTCTTAAAAATTTCTAGTAGGGAATCATCCAAAACTAATGGCTCAGTCTCATCACTAGCCATTGGAGAGGTGGAAGGCATGTCGAAAAGACTAGCTAGTATTGCTTTGAAGATGTCTACCTCGTCCGTGGACATGAAAGGTGCAGAAAGAGCTTTGGTGGAAGGCACGAAGGACTGCATAGGAATAGGAGAAATGGGTGGAGCATCTTCAGCAGTCTCTATAGTTCTAGCTACCAATAAGTTGAGGGAAGAGGGGCTGGAACTAAGTAGAGGTGATAAACCATGAGTTGGAGGGCTACTAGTACCCTATATAGAAGAATCAGCTACCATCAAAGAGGAAGTAGCAGCTGGAGTTTCCTTAGGAGGGGAAGGAAAAGTAAGGCTCAAAAGATAATTAAATTGAGAAAAATCAAAAGACAAATAAGGGAGATATGGAGTTAAGCCAGAAGGAAAAGGAGCAGGAATACTTGGCCTCAAGAAGGGTATAGAAAATATAGGGCCTGGAAATGGAAGAATTATTTGAATGGTCTCCACATCTTGAGGTTGTTCCACTTCGACTGAAACTGAGGGAGTCCTTATTGGAAGAATAGGCTCAGGAATTGTTGCTGCAAAAGAAGAAGTACAAAGTAATGTCAAGTCTCAATACTAAGAATTTGACAAGGAAAAAGAATAGAGACATGAAAGAAGTTACTTGTTTCAGAAGTGGTAGCAACAATGGGAGAGCTGCGAAGGGAATAGTGCTCAACAATATACTGCCTTCTTGCAGTTTCTCTTTGGATTGCAGCAGCAGCAGAAGCTTCATCTCTTAACAGTTGTTGCTGCTGCCGTTTTTTAGCTCTCTGAAAAACAATTATGGCCTTAGAATGTTC